GGGTCAAGGGGCTGACGGGTCGGGGGGCTGACGGGTTAGAGGGGTTGACGGGTTGGGGGGCTGACGGGTTAGAGGGGTTGATGGGTTGGGGGGCTGACAGGTTAGAGGGGCTGACGGGTCGGGAGGCTGACGGGTCGGGGCTGACTGGCGAATGGGGGAGGTTTTGCTCACGAGTCCGTCACTGACGTGGAGGTTTAAATAGCTGTTTTCATCCCGTGCCCCGCGAATGGCTCAGTCCCCGACTCTTCCCGACTCTTCCCAGGTCCACGCTGTTCCCGGCAGGTGTCTGCCCTCCTGCTCAGCACGTGGAGGGGCTGGGGAGCCGGGGAGACCCGCTCACGGCTGCTGTTTACCCCACAGGTTCTGACGCCGGTTCTGGACGTCAGGCTCGCAGCTCTGGTGGTTTAACGGGCCGAGCGCGAGGAGCACATGCATTGGAGGGCCCGGCCCCACCCCCGCCCAGCCTGGCCCGGACCTGACCCATGCTGCAGCAGGGTGCGCCCCGGCTCCCCCGTCCTGGGTAAGCGCGTGTCCCTGCGCCTTTCATCCCTTCCCGCGTGGGGCTGTGCAGGGTGAGGGCTCTCAGAGGACCCCCCCTCCCCCAAGGATGCTTTTATTTCCTCAAAGAATGTGCACTTTCTTTTTTAAAGATACATTCTACATCCTGTACTTTGCAGACATTTTGACGGACTAACAGACTTGGCCCACGCGTGAAGTTAGATGCTTCATGGCCATAAACGTTGACGGCTCTCATCAGAGCCGAGGCCTGGGCGCTCCTGGCGTAGTCGGTGCTGCTGTGGCGGGAGGGGCCCGAGGGGGTTGCATTGTTCTGATGGGAACTGCTTTCCTAACAGGGCCTGGAATATCCGCGCTGTGGCTGTGGGCTGGGGAAGAGAAGCTGGCAGAGGTGATGGGCTGCCTGTCCGTTAGTTTCTGTGGCCGCCTCACCAGCACCTCCCTCTAGCCGGCGCTCAGCCCTCATCCAGTGCTTGTCGCCGTTGATTCCACACCCTGTGGTGTATTTTCATCCCTGTCTTATAAAGACTAGGCCTGTGCGAGTCACAGTGACGGTCCCTGGAGTTTATAGCGGAAAAGGACAGCCAGGCCTGCCCATCCCAGAGCCCGGGCCCCGCTGCCGTTTGCATTGGGCACCTCGTGTGTACCGTCTAGTCCCCTCACCGTCCCTTTATGCAGGTGATCTGTCCAATATGCAGTCACAGGTGCAATTTCAAGTGTTACACGAGCCACGTTAAAAAATAAGCAGCAGCCCGGCTGGTGTGGCTCAGTGGTTGAGCATCGACCTATGAACCAGGAGTCATGGTTTGATTCTCCGTCAGGGCACATGCCCAGGCTGCGGGCTCGATTCCCAGAATGGGGCGTGCAGGAGGCAGCCGATCAATGATGTTTCTCTCTCTTTCTCCCTTCCTCTCTGAAATCACTAAAAATATATTTTAAAAGAAGAAGAAGCTGAAATTAAGCTTCATGTCTATTTTATTTAACCAAATAGATGTCAAATATCATTTCAGCATATAAGCAATCTAAAGACTGTTGGAATGTTTTACTTTCTCATACTAAGTCCTCAAAATCTGGTGTATGTCACTCACTGCACGGTTTGAAGTGGCCTCCTCCCACGTGGTCATTGGCCACGTGTGGCCATGGCTTCGATTTGGAGAGCATGGGTCCGGGCAGACAAGCGCGCTCCTCGACTTGCCTCACTGGCCCCTGTGTTACGTGGACGTGGGTGTGTAACCAGAGTGTCCCGTGAGAACTGGTGTTTCCCTAGCTCAGAGCACACGTTAGGACCCCCGGGCGCCTTTGGACGGAACATGCACGAAGCACGAAACCCCCACTCCCGGAGGGAGAGAGGCATGCCCGAGGGGCCCTGGCTGCCGGTGCCGCCCGGTCTGTCCAGCGCTCTCTGCAGAGGCACCTGGTCTCTGAGAGGAGCAGCGTGGACCCTCTGTGTCCGGGTGGCTCCGTAGTTTACGCCTCCTCCGTCGGGCTGGCAGCCCCTCAGGAGCGCTCCCGGTGACAAACAAGGGCTCTTTGGAGTCGACTCTGTCCGGGCCCCTGGCTACCGGGCCCCGTGCTCTTCTCGCCCCGCAGTGGCGCCATGCCCATCGTCGACAAGCTGAAGGAAGCGCTGAAACCCGGCCGCAAGGACTCGGCTGACGATGGCGAGCTGGGGCGGCTGCTGGCGGCCTCTGCCAAGAAGGTGCTGCTGCAGGATCGAGTTC